AGATGATAACCTGGAGCATTTGGGTGCAAGGTTATGACGCTGGGACCTGGCCAGTAGAAAGCCTGGTTCAAGACCTCTCCCCCCCCCCATCTGCCCTGCACCCAAGAGGGAGGAGGAAGCCATGTCCAGAGTTGCTTAGTGTGGTGAGAGCCAGCGTGGTGTAGTGGTTAAAAGCAGCAGACTCTAATCTGGAGAACCAGGTTTGATTCCCCACTCCTCCTCCCCATGAAGCCTGCTGGGAGACCTTGGGCCAGTCACAGGTCTCTCAGAACTCTCAGCCCCACCTATCTCATAAGGTGCCTGTTGTGGGGAGAGGAAGGGAAGGAGATTGTAAACTGCTTTGAGACTCCCTTGGGTAGTGAAGAGTGGAGTATGAAACCAACTATTTGCTATAGCATCTGTCACAACTGGACTTACTGGAGAACAATTACACCAGGCCAGCTGCAAGTGGTCATGTAGGCACAGACTTCTCTGTAGAAATCTTATCCTTCTTTTATCCAAGGTTTCATGTGCGATCAGATCAGAGCACTTTTACAGCATCAGATCACTAGCTCTGTGGACACGAACAAAGCTGAGAATTCTGTTCACTGCAGGACAGGAGGCTGACTGAGGGTGAATGACTGTCCACTCCCAAAATATGTAACAGTAAATAACAATTTCATTTTATGCAGACACAGTTATGCCCCCGCCCTTCCCCATCAAAGGCACGTTATCAGTAACAACTACCATTAAACCATATTACAAAGAAGCTTTAAAGCCATTTTTAAAGGATGCATAAGGATTTTATTGGTTTCTTATATATCCGCAGGCTTCACTATGGACCAGACCAATTTCCCCTTTCCAACTCGATTATTGATTTCAGCTGCTTTTGAATAATTGAGAAGCGTGTGGGTTGAGCATCTCGGTCCTCTGTGAAGGGTCTACAGCAGTGAAGACGTGTGGGATGGAGGAAACCTCCCCGGTTCCTCGACGGGAGGATTTATTTCATCTCCTGGGAGGCTCACTGTGAAGTCCAGATTGGAGCATATGTGTGTTGTGCGTGAGGGGGCGGGGAAGGGAGGGAAGGGTTTAGGTGTCATTGCTCAAATGTCCCATTAGCGAGTCTGTGTGCAGTCAGCAGCTCGAGGAGTTGTGCTATAAATATTCATCATGGCATCCATTAACTCTACACAGTCCCTTTAAGCACAACAATGCCCTTGGTGGGGAACAGTTGAAAGGGACCTAAATGCAATCTTACCTCCAGTAGGGAAATCTGTATACGAAAGATTATACTCACACGCACAAATATATACATAGTCATGCCCCAACATCATAATGTTCTGCAATAATGTTCTGTATTCACAAGGTGCATGGTTCACACTTAGGGTCACCAACCTGCAGGTAAGGCTGAGAGATCTCCCACTATAACAACTGATCTCCAGACAGTAGACATCAGTTGCCCTGGAGAAAATGGCTGCCTTGGAAGCTGGACTCTATGGTATTGTATCCTGCTGAGGTCCCTCCTCTTCCCAAACCCTACCCCCACAGCCCCCCCCCAAAAAAAATATCTCCAGGTATTTCCAAACACAGAGCTGGCAACCCTATTCACACTGTTCCAATAGTAGTTTGGGGTTAAATCAGAAAATCCAACTGTAGAACATCAGGAAGAACTGCAATTTATATCTGAGGAAGGAATTTCTTCCACATGCGCCCCTCATCCCACCATGTGCTGAGATCAAGAGTTAAATCCCTTCTTCAAGGACCACCAACCACCAAGGAGGAATTGGTCACCACAAAAAGAAACAAGCAGGGCCTATATAAAAACAACATCCCCAAACTGTTAGGCTCTGTCTGTTCCACTGCCTGCTGTGATGGAAGCATGGCAAGAGGAGCCCACAACTTCCCTAAAAACGGCCTGGGCCTGCCTTAGGGATCTTCACAGGCAGCAGAGGCTAAACTCCAGGGACCAGATCTGGCCTCCAAGACAATTGTGGCCTCGGCCACACGGGCAGGAAAATGCAAGGGGGAGGCGTGGCTGTTTGCCCCGGAGCAAAATAACGCGCGACTGCGCAATCAGGCATTGGGTTGAGGTCCCGTCGAGCTCCCGTGGTTAGGGGGGAGGTGCGGATCACACGACACGGCAAAGAAGCGGAGCGGCGTGGCAGGATTGTGGTTTTTTTTAAAAAAACTGAAATGTGCGCATGCTCCGTTGGGTGCTTGTGTGCATCCCATGGAGACTTGGGGGGGGGACCTTTTTGCGAGGGGACATGGGGGGGTGCCGGATGCCACCAGAAACGCGATCAGACGCCCACCCTTGCCCCGCGGTTTCCGGAAACTAGTACCTCGGAGGTACTAGCTTTTTACCCCGCATCTTCGGCGGGAAGCCTCGGGTGAGCCACGGGAGCTCTACGCTTCCCAGATGTGGCACTGTGATCGTGCCCGGAAAATCCGCCTATCTTCTGTCTCTATAGCGTGGCTAATGCTCCGTGTGACCGGGGCCTGTGTCTGGTTTCTGGCGTCCATAACAGATTTTAATTAGGGTCTGGTTTAATAAAGTTTGTGTGTTGTTTCACCCATAAGGAAAAGAAAAATATTCCAAAGTTGTAACAATAGAAAAAGAAAATGCTACATCTCTATATGGATTTTGTATACAGTATCCTGGTTTGGCCTGAACGTACGTACTCCAGTACTGTGGTGCCCTTATTATTAGGTGGCACTAACTTTGTTATGCTGCCTGAAGGGTCAATTTGTATAGCTGAAAACATTTCTGGCTCCTAGTCCACTGTCCAGAATGGCTCCTCTGGGAATAAAGATGCTGGCTGTACCTGCTTATACAGCATCGCATAAATGTGATTTGTGACTGTGCACTTGCAGGTTTCTCAGTGTTCTTGTAAGGGAAATGGTAGCTTTACAGAATGATCCTGTCTAAGCAGGGCATCGTGGCTTAAAAGATCCCAGCACTAACACTGCTACACCTGCACTGTAGGATGGCACAGACTTGATGCTTCATTTGCACACTGGCCATACATTGCTGTTAAGGCGCAAGCACACCCTTTGAGAATCATAACACAACACAATCCTCCCCACTACAGGACAACCACTTCCTTGCCTGATTTAGAAATCTACCATGTATGGTCTGAAGATGCATAATGAAGCTCCAGTCGAATAAATATCAGTTGCATAATGAAGCTCCAGTCGAATAAATAGTAGGTATCAATAGTTTATGAGTTATTTTAGCTTGCAAAAGGGTGTTACAACATGCATTTGATCTCCCTTCAAAGCATTATGTACTGGGCTGCTATTATTCCCATTTCAGAGAAAGAAAACTGAGGGTCAAAGCCACTGAATGCATCCATGCTCAAGTTCTCCAGCCACAGGAGCGTACTGTTAAGGATTATTTCTTTTCATTTCTCTGCTGCCCAGGATCATAAAATGGCCATGCACCAACAGTTCTGAGTAATTCCAGCAGAATCTGTAGGAGTTGACAAAGGCATCTGCCTAAAGGCACTGTTAAATTGTGGGATGGGCTGACCGATCCAATTCCTGACCTGCCACCCTTGGACCATTTCCCATCCTGCGTGCCTTCCGCTTGCCAAGGGGGAGCCAAGCTTGGGGGAGCGTGCACAGCGATTAGGAGCTTCACGCAATGTATTCATCTCTGGGCAGGGTTAGAGGGCAGGCCCCTCCTAAAGCAAAATATCCCCCAACCCTGTGAGAACATGCACACTTAAGAGAGTCATCAGAATTCTCTCACTCCCAATTAAAGACAGATAATCTCACTCTGGTCATTTGGGACTACAGACCTCCTACTCAAACTACCAGCCCAGACTTCCAAATGCATTTGCAAAACCACCACGATGAGAGGTTGATATTCCCTGGACCTGGCTTTTCTGACCTGCTCATCTGCCACACAGCCAGCTTCCCACTTCTTAAAGTGATGTGTCTCTCCTATGCAAGGCAGAGCAAAGAGAGAACACCAGCATGCAGCAACTTTGCATTGTACCCAGGAGATGATAAAATAATTAAGAGGATGATGCTACATTTCTCCTCCTGGAGGCAAAGATTTACAGTCCATCCTAGCTCTGTGGCAATCAGTGGCAGGCTATGAATTCAACCCCCGGCAAACAGAGTCCCCCACCCCCAAATCCAACCATGATGTAAATGTACTTGCCAAATGCATCTGCATTCATATCTAGAAAGTGATCAGAATTTGACCTTTCAGGATGCAGAAGGCAAAATATATCAGGATGCATTTGAGAAATTAACGCTGATGCATGAAAGAATAAAATGTACTGGCTAGATCACTGGTGAAATCCCTCGTAGTGGGAGAAGTGATAAGGAAAAGGCAAATAGCCTCTTAGGACAGCGGTGAGCAACACAATAAATGCACTCTCTGGAAATATCAACAGTAGATCAAAGATTACATTCCCTCTACAGAAATATTATAAATATTTAGGGATGGGCAGTGGAGAATGCAGAGAGAGAGCGTTTGTGTGTCCACCTTTCCACCCTGCAAACAGTGTATTAAAAACATCATAAGAATGGAATTTAAAAAAACAATAAACACCCACCACTGGGTCAAAGCAAACCAAGTATTACCACCATCAGCATCTTCCACCAGCCCTTATAACAGCTCAGTCATGGCAGGGAAGCAGCCTCGTGTAAATACCTCAGCAGAAGCAGCAGCAGAGGAAATATTACTGATCACACATTTCACATGTTCCATCCAGTCCCAGAGGGGAAAGACACAACTGGCATACGTCTTCATTATAACCACCAGGGAATTAGGCAGGGGCTGTTGCATTCACAGGCACAGTTTCCAAGCCAATTCAGAAGCCAAAATCTAGCAACATTTCCACCAATTCTTATCAAGTCTGACTAGGTGCTGGGGGGGGGGGGGGGGGGAGAGAGAAGGGCTTGACTACCTGCATCAGCGTCGTGCGCTCACCATCTTTTACACATGTTGCTATATAAGGAGAAAAACCAAAATAGGCGCAGGCAGGCGAAGCGAGGCAACTCACCAGCTGACAGGCTGCGGGCTGAGCTGCTGGTGCAGAGCCACGGAGAAGCCAAAAAAGCTGCCGTTCTCTCCATACTTGAGGATGGTCTCGGTAACGTCTAAATTGAAGGCGGAACTCTCCAGGAGGTAGAGGCTGAGGCAGAAGAGCCCGCCGAAGAGCGCCCCGGGCATGCTTGGCAGCCGGCACGAGGCTCGGCAATTGCCGCGGCGACTATTCTCCGGCGTCCACCACCCTTCGGGGAGCTTCAGTCCGTCGCCGGACTCTGCCGCACACCCTCTCGCCCTCTTTGCCGGCTGCTGCCCGGCCAGCTTGGGACTGTACAGATTCTCAGGCAACCTGGCTTCAACATCGCTTCCCTCTCCCCGCTCCTGCCTCCCTCGCTCCTCCTCGCTCTCTTTTTCCACTCCGCTCCTGCAGCCAGGAGGAGCGCCGCGGCTTCCATACGGCAGACACGCCCCCTTTCCTACCACATCGCCGCTCCATAGGACAGGAGAGAGACACCCAGAAGGGAAAGCAGGTGGGGAAAGTCCCCACAAATCCAAGGCTTGTCTCTCCTGCCTGGGCTCTCAGAAACTTTCGGAAGGAAGGAAAGAAACTGTCGCACACGATCCTATCAAGATTATGCCTCTAACCCAGTATTAGAGCAGGAGATATGCTGCAGGGATTCCAAAGAAGTGGTTTAGAGAGGGGTAAAGGCGTTCCATGTAGACTCGTTTATTTTGCACCACTGTCACTCCCCCTCGAACAGGTTTTTAAAAGAACACAAAGATCTGTCAATCAAAGGCAAAACTGATTTGATGAGCAATGACTCCCCTCTCTGGGCGAAAAAAAAATCTGATTTGCAGCAGTGCCAGGTAGTGGCTGATTGTGCTGGACCACTCAGCCTCACCCAGGCCCGTAGCTCAGATTTTGATGCTTGTAGGGCAAAAGATTTTCTGGTGGGGCTGGTGGAAAGGTGTGCCTTTTACAAAACATTTTAATATGTTTTTAAAAATATTTTAAAAACATTTTAAGAAGGAGCTCTTGTGGGGCTGGGCCTTTAAGGAAGGGGCGGAGCCCGAATAGCCCCACCGTAGCTTTGGTCCTGGCCTCACCTACTCCACAGGGTGGTTGTGAAGATAAGACAGAGGAGAGGAGAACTGCTCCTTGATCCAACAGTAATTTCCACATATGGTGGGGGGGGTTGTCTATGGAGCATGACTTTGCTGCTTCCTCCCCCCGTGCAAAACGTCCCCTGAAATGCTGCTCCTGGGTGACAGAAAACTTTCTGGAACAGCATAAGTTCTGTAGCAGGAGGGGGAAATTGACAAAAAATCTCCCCCTCCCATTCTGTTTGCAGAAATCCTCCATGAGACGCATGCCTGCCCTGTGCTCCTTGGAAGAGTCGAGTGATGGGATTCAAATGTAGTAAATAAGCATTAGAAAAATGTGTGACTGACCTGAGATCACCTAGTAAGCTACTGTGGCAGAGTGGCGATTCGAACCCAGGTCTCCCAGATCATACTCTGACATTCTGAAGAAATCCTCCATGAGACGCATGCCTGCCACGTGTTCCTTGGAAGAGTCGAGTGATGGGATCCAAATGTAGTAAATATTAGAAAAATGTGTGAGTGACCCGAGATCACCTAGTGAGCTACTGTGGCAGAGTGCCGATTCGAACCCAGGTCTCCCAGATCATACTCTGACATTCTGACAACTACACCGTGCCTGCACTCAGTCCAGCAGCAAGGATCAACTAACTTGTGTCCAGCATCAAGGGCCAACCAAGCTAAACAGCCAGATTTCATTACATGAGTTGAAGAAGAAGAGGGGATTGGATTTATACCCCGCCCTTCACTACCCTAAAGAGTCTCAGAGTGGCTTACAATCCCTTCCCTTCCCCTCCCCACAACAGGCACCCTGTGAGGTAGGTGGAGCTGAGAGAGCTCTCCCAAGAACTGCCCTTGAGAGAACAGCTCTGAGAGAACTTGTGACTGACCCAAGGTCACACCAGCAGCTGCATGTGGAGGCGTGAGGAATCAAACCTGGTTCTCCCAGATTAGAGTCCGCGCTCTTAACCACTACACCAAACTGACTATTGCAATTATACTATTTCAGGTCTCTCAACTTTTGTTTGAATTATTGAATATGGGATTGAATAAAAGCTGGCCTCTGATGTCTAATGATCAAGAGACCCCCATCTTCCCACTCAGAATGTTCGGTTTCAGAGTTCGGACGTCAAACAGAATGACAGTTGCCTGTTAGGTGTGTCATGAGGGTGCCATCATGAACAGCCTCTCATGAACCTTGCGCTGTGTTCTTTAGAACTGCTGACCACACGGATCAGAACTATCACACAGAGAGCCTCCATATTCTCCTTGAATGTTCTTGGCAGCGACTGGAGGGATGTGTGTAATCCCTCTTATGGTGCTAGTGATCCACATGACAAGTGATTCTAAAGCCCGTCCGCGGGGAGGGCAGCCTAGAAATTGAAAAAATAAATAAAAATAATATAAATATAAACACAGCAGTCAGCAGGATAGGAATCACTCACAAAAGGAGGCTGTGTTCTCTTGTATCATACTGACATTCAGTTCCATGGTGAAGATAGATTCAGGTGGGGTAGCCGTGTCGGACTGAAGCAGCAGAACAAAGTTTGAATCCAGTGGCACCTTTAAGACCAGCGGTGTTAGCTTTCGTGTGCACGCTCACTTCTTCGGATACAATGAAATGGAATGCACATGAAAGCTTATACCAGGGGTGTCAAACATGTTTCCCGGGGGCCAGATTAGGCCCCCAGAGGGCTTCTATCAGGCCCGAAGTAGAACTGGCCATCTCCTGCTTCCAGTTCTGTTGCTGCTGCTGCTGCATCATAGCTTGCTTCACCAGACTCTTTCACTCGCTCAGCCATTTCATGTTTTAACCTGGGTCCTAAACTCAGAACTCTGAGCATGGGATTTCTGTGGTGAATGTCAATAAATCAAAAGTAGGTTTGCAGCTTACAGATACACCCTTGAACAGCATACTCAAGATTATAACAGCACAGACATTTTGATGCAATAATTCAGAACAAGAGGTGTCAGTTATCAGATACTGTTAAATAAACAAAAGATTGCAGAGTGCTAGTGGGCTGCTGGGAGCAGGGGGTGGGGCTTGTTGCATGTGCCCACCCCCTGGGCTCCTTTCTGCCGGAGCTCCGTTCCTGTGCGCTCCCACAGGAAATGACCCCTGCCAAACACTATGCCACACTGACCATGGGCCACCCAGAGTGTGGCCACAAAGGAATCTGCTACATGTTGAATGAATACATCTAATTCTCACCCCATTAAAGTGTGCCCTTTGTTGCATGTTTTTCACAACTTAAGATGCTGACTACTACAATGAAGTCTGAATATTCTTGACCAGCAGGACCTGATGGTGCATCTCACACCAAGTGCTCACACTACTCTCTTACAACACGGGTCTGGAATAGACAGGGACTCCATTCATAGCTAGCATTCCTGCTTTTCTCCCTATTTAATTTTCTTCTGGAGTCCCAGACGCTGAGGTGTACACAGCCATTGCTCTACTCCTGATCAAATGTTAACGATACCTGTTGAGAAAGAATTACCAGAAATAGATGTCTCCTTCTCCATCAACGAGAATGAATGGCATGTACGGGGCTGTGTGTGTTTCTTGTCACACAGGAGGAAATCTGAACCTCATATCAAGTGTGGGTTCTTTTAGAATACAAGAGTCCATTTGATAACAAGACTCCTCTCTAGCCTTCCTCGCTTGCAGGAAGAAGTCTGGGACAGGATGTAAAACAAATAAAGCTGTGCTGTCCGTCACATAGGATAAATCTCCTGTCCCAAAATTCACAGCCCTTTTCTTGCCTGTTTTTTCTCCAACTAATTAATTTCTTCCTGTTTCCAAAGTACTTTGAAAACGCATAACTGTTGCATCTATATTTCTGATCCATGCTGTTTATTGGACACACATGAAACTGCCTTATACTGATTCAGAAGATTGATGTATCAAGATCAGTGCTGTCTACTCAAACTGGCAGTGGATCTCCAGGGTCTTATGTAGAGGTCTTTCACCTCACCTGCTGCCTGGTCTTTTATAACTGGAGATGCCAAGGATTGAACCTGGGACCTTCTACATGCAAAGAATGCACTGAGGCATAGCCCTGACTGTTTATTATTTTCTTGCTACATCTGGCTAGGGCTTCCTTACAAAATCTGGGAAACTGCAACAGCAGTGAGACACTTTCCAAATTCTTCTTCTTGCTAGCAAGTTGCAAATCCTGTCCAGATAAGCAAACAAATATATATGCCAGACCTCAGACCTACTAACTAAGGAGACCTTCACAGGACTGACAACGGTAACTCCATAAAGGAGAAGAAAAAGAAGAATAGCTGGTTTTTGTACATCACTTTTCTCTACTCTGAGGAGTCTCAAAGCAGCTTACAATCGCCTTCCCTTCAGGGGTAGTTTCGTAGAAAAAGAGCTAGGGGAACTCATTAGCATAACTCATTAGCATATGCCACACCCCCTGACATCACCGGAAGTGTGTCATAAGGCCACACCCCCTGACATCACCGGAAGTGTGTCATAAGGCCACACCCCCCGCCCCCAACGGTCCCCCCCATGAGGGGCCCGGCGGTGGACCTGCAAGGCCGGCGGGAGTGCAAGGAAGCCCCGCGAAGGCCCTCCCTGGCCCCAGGCAGGCAGGGGTGGGGAGAGGCAGGGAGGAAGCAACTTACCCTCCCTCTTCTCCTGCCTCCTCCTGGCTGAATGAGGGCCGGAAGCGGGGCGGTCAGAAGAAGGGGCGGGGCTTCGTCATGTGCCCAGCCCCCCGTACCTCACCCGTGGGAACTGCGATCCCCCGCAATCCCCCCCGAAATGACCTCTGCTTCCCTTCCTCTCCCCACAACAGGCACCTTGTGAGGTAGGTGGGGCTGAGAGAGCTCAGAGAGAACTATGACTGGCCCAAGGTCACCCAGCAGGCTTCATGAGGAGGAACAGGGAGTCAAACCTGATTCTCCAGGTCTGCTACTTTGACCACTATACTGCTCTATACATTATATGCCCACTCAGACGTACTCTCTTGCATGGGCAGAGAATAATATCTTGGCTAATGCAAGGTATGTGAGACTCACATTCCAGGGCTCTCTACATTGTTTTTGAACAGGTTCTTAGTGTTCAGCATTAGAAAGCAGTCATTGGTCCCACTCTGCTAGCGATACTAAGTTCTGGAAAAGTTGCAAGCAGGGACTTCTTTAGATGGAATATCTGGAGCTTGCAAAATCCCAGTTGCCTGTTTATCCAAGCTTCTAAAATTTGGCGCTAGTGTCCTGCAACACTTTCTTGAGCAATGCAAATGCCCAAACATCCTGTTTCCTAACTTTCTCATTTGCTCCCCGACACCAACA